ACCCCTCTCCTGGGACGTGCCTCCGCACCATCCCCAGCCCTCGCACCCCGTCTCCCCACGCGCCACCCTCCCGGGCCCCTCGCAGCGCCGTGACTGCATCTGAAATCAAACAACAGGCAGTTTGGCCATCCACAGTGGCAGCGGCCACCAAAAGTCATTATTTGGCAGAGTAGCATCTGTGTAGCATCCCAGCACGTCAGCAACCAGGTAAATCCAGAACACACTGAACATCTCAGGAGGCAAGTGTTTAACGGTCTCCGTTTAGCACTAACGACAGACGAGCCTCCCCTTCGGCGCTGTGCACCACCAGCACCCCTCCGCGGCACCCTGCGCCCAGGGTTTTCCACGTGTGCCAGAAGCGACACTTACTTAAGCCTCAACTAGCGGTGAGGTAGGTTAAAGAGTCCCCTGACAGGGAAACTGAGGCACAGGATTACACAGTTTGCAGGTGTCACACAACAAGCGGTAGTGCCAGAAGCATCTTCTCACCCCTCTCCGGCACTCCCAACAACAGCTTTTTGTCCTCCTAGTGGGGCCAAATGAAGTTTACCTTTTCAGCGAGATAAACACACGCAGCTTAGAAGTGTCCGGTTTAAGTCAAATCAATCTCGAAGATGAAAAGACAAATGCATAAGGTTTCTCGCCTCTCAAACTCTCCAAGAGCTGCGCTCAGCCCAGCTGACGCAGCTTTAGCTCTAGTGCTTCCACAGCTCCTTTCGGTCTCACAACCACAAACTGAGGTTTCATTTGTACGGGAAACTGGTGAAAAAAAGTTTCAGTGACCCAAGCAGGGCAGCGAAGCACCGCGATAAGGTTAGGCGGGACAGCAAGCCATGGATTCCAGCCTAAGGTCAGGCTGGTTTCTGACAGAGTTGCCCCCAGACCCCTAATGCACCCGATAAGCTGAAAATCACAACCAGGTGTCAATGGGGATATTGCTGTAGCACTCTGGAGAAGTAATTCCAAACACTGCTGCCTGGGCTGCTTCGGCTGTTACCACAGAACACCGTCAGGTATTTCAACGTAATTATTTCGCCTTCCATAGCACCCTCCAGCCAGAGACCTAAAAGTGCTTCAGCAAATGTGAACTAAGCCTCACAATAACCACACAAATCCAGGCTAAACTGCCCCCCATTTTACAGATGGGGAAACTGAGGCACAGTAAGGTTTAGTGACTGGCCCAAAGTTACACAGCTAGTCAGGAACAGAGTCTGTCGCTCCCAATTTCTTCTTCCTTGGTCACAAGACCTTTCTTCCACAGGAGAAAAGGAATCCCTTCCCCAACTAGCCCCGCTCTGGCTTCAGGTGGCTGAAGAGGAGAAACCAAGGGTAAAGGTCTGAGCTCTTCCCCCCTGCAGCATCATATTAAGACTCACTATAACATCCTGGAAGCTGGGCTTTGGGAGAACGGCAGGTGATTCAAATACAGCAGTTTACAGGTTACAATAAAAACCAAAAAACACACTTTTAGGTGACCCCAAGGAGGGGGGAAAAAAAAAGGCCAAAAAAAAAAAGCTATTCACAGTTCACCTGCCTGTGCTAGGAAAAAAAAAAGTCACATTCCCTTCCCTATAGATTCCAGCCCCTCCCAACCCGCAATAAAAAGAAAATATTGAATGTTAGTTAGGCTTAACAAAGCATTGAGGTTACAGATGCAGTAAACCAGCACAACTGGCATACTGCCTAGAACAGCACAGCTTGATATAAAAGTTGCTTCCTTAAAATCACTTCAAAACCAATTTCTGTATAAGAGGATTAAAAGTAAATTAGATATGAATTCAAAATCAGTGTAGAAATCTACAGTTCTTATCAAAGACAGGATACAGTATTCACTTTGATAGTAAAACCCCACGTGTCACACACAGCTGACTCAAGGGACTCGTTATACCAGTAACAGTCAATATAAAAGGTTATTGCTCTAGCATCTCTCAGTAGAACATGTTTAACAAGAGCACAGAAAAAGGAAATACCAAGGGCTGACAGGTCTCATTAGCAAAGAGAGGAAGAAGAAAGGATATAAAGTTTGGATCTTTTTTTTTTTTCCTGGCTTCTTAAACCCCTCCACTTCTCCCTGCTCTTGTGACAGTTTCAGGCCCCGATAGATGGGAGAGTTTCAGGCCAGACAAACGCACACCACATTCACTCATGACAGGGATGGATGAAAAGGCTGTGTTCTAACCTCTCTGCACCTGCTTTTAAAGAAGGGGCGATGCCTCTTCCTCTCTCCCAGGAGCAGCAGGTGCCCTGAGCAGACCTGGGTACTGACAGAGGTGCCTGGCATAGGACGTCACCCACAGGAGCGCACATCAGTGCTGAGGGATGGTTGGGGCTTACTCTACCTCCTGCTCCAGTGTGTTGAGAAAAGGCAGGGAATAACAAACTAGAGAAAAAAATCACCCCCACACAGTAATATCTTGATTCCTCTTTAAAAAAAAAAAAAAAAAAAAAAAAGTAAGTGGTATTGTCTCCTTACAGTGTAATGGAACTGGAGAGACCCTTGCAGGGTTCTTGGCTGCCTGCGCTGCCGCTCTGATCTCAGTAAGTCACACACGCCATGTGGCTCCAGTGAGCAGAGCCAGGGTGGCACTGAGATCACAGGGTGCCCTCGCTGTGCTATTGCTCAGAGTGCAGGCGTGCAGACAAAAGCCTGAGAAAGGGGTGTCAAAGCAGAGGGCCACGTTGTCTGCAAGTGTCACGATTCGCTCAGGGAGCTGACACTGAAACTACTGGCAAAGGCTCCTCCTGCCAGGACGGGGCTGAGTAAAACCTCCCTGTTGGAGCCCTTGAGCTAAGCTCAGCGTCAGTCACACACAGACACGCACACCATAATGAGGGGACTCGGCCTCTCTCTACTGAGACACAGCAAGGGCATTTCCAGTTTAATGGTCCGTCTCTGGATCTACTGCCTCTCCATAGCAGCAGAAAGCACTCCCACCCCACCCCACCCTCCTCCCCTGCCTGGTAAGGTTTCTAAATCACAGTAATGTTCAGAGAGACAGAACTGCCAAGGGGGTGGCAGAAAGATGCTTAGCGCCCATCTATGATCCTCTAACAGAAGAGCTTGAGAAAGCAGTTCTGGCAGTAGGGCTTGTCGTTCTGTTCCTTGAAGGTTCCTTTGTTGAGCTGCTTGAGGCAGAAGGCACAGACAAAGTGTTCGGGGTGAAATTTCTTGCCCATAGCAGTGATGCAGCGTCCTGTGATAGGCTTCTGGCAACCGGAGCAGAGCGAGCCGCGACGCTCGTGGTAATGCACCTCACAGTAGGGCTGCCCGTCATGCTCAAAGAAGCTGCCATTGATGAATGGTGTGAAACATTCCTGCAGGAGGACAAAGCAGAAGGGGACAGATTGTATAACACGAGCTGGGGATGCGGGCAGTTCCACAAGCCACCTCTGCTCTGTGGCACAGCCTAGCTGTAGTGTGAGCAGGGTGAACTGCCTTTCAGCATCGTCCTCCTGTCCAAAGAGCCAAACTCTGTCCATCAAGAAGTTTCCAAAGAAAGGCTGATAGATGGACAGACAGAGCCACAAACAAGGGAATTAACCATGCTCCTTCTTCCCAGCTGGTTTCATTTCTACAAAGAAAATACTATAGATGAGCTACCAGACACATCCAGCCAAGAGAAAGGAGAACAAACACTCCTTCCCCTGAGATGGGAAACACTGCAATAGCTTTCCCTTTTTTTTTTTTTAATTGATTTTTAACCTCATTCCAGCTTCCCCACAATGGCATGCAGAAGCAGGGACCACCACAGACCTCCATGCAGCAGAATTCTGATGAACATGGGACTGGTTCCAGCTGAGAAAAAGGAGGCACAATTAATCTTTACAAGTGATCTCTCCAGAATGGCTGGCATTTCACAGGTACACATCATCCATCCTGAAACATCCCCACTAGGCACACACACATCGCTGCTGGGAGAAACTGTTTGTTCTACAGCGCTGATGATTTTGAATAGACGAGGAGGATACACCAGTTATGTGGTTATTAGCATCCAGAGTTCCTCACCCCCCTCAGTGTCACGTGGGGGATGCTACACGTCAGAACCTGCAACAGAAGCACCCCACAAGACTGGGGAGACTCCCCTCCTTGTACAAGAGGGAAACTGAGGCAGCAGGATGCAGGGGAGAGTCGAGGATACTGCCAAATTCACCGAACAGATCGGCAGCAAAGCCCAGAGGAGAAGCCAGATTTCCAGAATCCTGCTTTTGCTCAGCCCCAACATCCTCCTCTTCCCCAGGAAGGACACACAGTATCACACACAGCTGGACCCCAACACGTACACAGGAGTCCAGCAAACAGCATGCAGAGCGACGGATAGTTAAACACTCTCAATACTGGGACAAATGCAGTTTGCCTGCAGCGAGTCCCAAACTTTTCTAATGCTGACAATTAGTTCAATAAACAGTCTCCTCCTCAGTCAGCAGGACAGCTGAAAAGTCTGCTCTGCTTTAGCAAAAACAGGAAGAGAATCCCATCTTGTGTCCTGGAAGACATCGGTATTGGCCCCACTAATACAGGCAGTGTGGCAGCAGGGGGAAAGGAAAGTGGAACTGCTTGACAGAAGTCTCAGTCTCTGCACAAAAAGGCACAGCCCTCCCCAGCCCCACAGAGTCAGGACTGCTGCCTTCTGCCTCCTCTCTCTGCACACCACTCTGGGAGGCACAGATAGTTCTGGGCAGGCAGTCCCAACAGCACAATGACAGTCTGCTCTGAGCATCATACCAGGAAATCAGCAGCTTGTGGTTCTGCTGCTTGTTCTGGTTTCTGCCTGCCTAGGAAACACAGGCTGATTTTGCTCATCTCTTGGGGCCTGTAAGAGTTAATATTTGCAAGGCTCTCTGAAAGAGTGCCAACCATTTAATCTGCTGTATTCCTGTTTATTATGCCTGTTGTATGGAGCCTGCCACTATTTCACTGACTTGCATGTTTGTCTGAACAAGGTCAGTCTCATTAGTTTACATTGTCAGATGGAGCATGGGAGGAAGATCCTCAAAATCTGATTGCTGAGGCAAGTGCTTAGAGAGAAGCTTAGCTTATTTAAAGGTCACAGAAAATGTCTCTGTTTATCTGTGAGCTGCTGCAGAAGCCCATAATTGCAGCTGGGAACAGAAAGAGCAAAGCAGCTAGAAAGTTTAATGTAAACAGGCAGAGGAGCAAGAAGGTGTTTGGTTGCTGACATGTTTTTATCTTGCGGGGCTGGCTGCCCTTCACTACCCCACAGACGCCTTTTCCTGATAAGGGACCAGATGCCTGCAGGGTAGAAACGAGAGGGGTCGTACAGCAGCAGCAGCAGAGGACCTTGGTTTACTTACCCGACAGACAAAGCATTCAGGGTGCCACAGGGTGTTCAAGGCAGAGATGTAGTTTTCCAGGATAGCCCGGGCACAGCCTCCACACTTGGGAGCAAACATGTCAAAGTAGTCCTTGCGGCAATAGGCTTTGCCATCCTTCTCATGAAATCCTGCCGAAGGAGAAGAGAGGCAAAGAGCATCAGCTCCTGATCTTTACTGACGGCCAGCCAAGCTCTGCAGGGTACCCAGAGGTAGGTAGGATCATCCTTCCCCCGCTAACACACACAGCAGGTAGCTGTTCCTCATTCTGCTGCCCTTCCTGTCCTGTGCACACACATGCACACGCAGACCCTTCCTCTCCAGGGAGAAAAGATTACTGCTAGCATCCTTCCCCCATAAACGGCTATAGCCCTTGGAACTTCTGTCTTCAGTAGTTCCCCTGTCATCTCTCAGGCTGTCCCCTAAGAGCAGCTCTGCTTTACATGCCTGTCTGTAGTTCAGGCAGGAGACTGCATAAACCAGCAATACCTTCAGGTCCGAAGAAAGCTCCACATTGGGCACAGAAGAAGTGTTCAGGGTGCCATGTCCTGTCCAAGGCTGTCACCACTTTCTGTTCAGAAGATAAAGTGCAAGTCATGTAAATGATGGCTTCAGCTTGGAGGTAAGGGGGGGCTGGGTGGGGGGAAGAACACGTTAATGTTGGTACTGACAAGAACGCGCATTAAAATAGACTGTCCTTTAGAGAGCTGAGTCAATTCTCCCCCACCTCTGGCTGATTCAGGCTTTCCCACTGCACACTATTTTTTACCCTAAAAGGATCTTACGCGCTGCTTCCTCCCTTATACAGGCCTCGTCCGCTCTCAGGACTAACACTGGTGCCTGTTACTACAAGCTACCAATAGACAAATGCCGAGAAATCATTACTGGAATGATGGAACGATGTGGGGTTCTGAAGGAACTTCAGTGAAGCTAAGAGGGACTGACTCCTCTCACTAGTGTAAGAATGTGACTGGGCCAAGTTGTTTCCCTTTCAGAGCCAGGGCAAAGGAAAAATAGAAGTCCCCAAACACAATCGTCCACCCAGGACACATGGGTGAAGTGGAGTTTTTAACACCCAGGCCTGCAGCACCTTGCCAGCGCCCTTAAACCCCCCCAGGGAACTCACATCAAGGATCGGCCCATTGCAGTAGTAGCAGCGAGGGGAGAAGAGGTTGTGATAGTCCTTCTCGCAGTAGGGCTGACCATCCCGCTCAAAGAAGTTCCGTGACCCGATCTCCTCCTGGCAGTGGGTGCAGACGAAGTGCTCAGGGTGCCAGGTTTTCCCCATGGCTGTAACTACCTGTTGGGAAGACAAATCATGAAGGACAACTCCATCTACCTCTCCCCTAGACCACAAGACAAGATACCAGCTGGAGGTCAGAAAGAATGATAAGTTCTACTACTCAAGTGAGCCCTGGACTGGGGTAGCATGAAAACTGAATTACCTATCATCTCAGGAGAGGGCAGTCCCTCAAGGGCAGGGTAGAGGTCACTGGAGGAGCTTACAGCGTACCTAGCCAGTGGATAAATAGAGTACTTCAGTTTCTCCAGCATCTCCAGTCTCTTCAGCCTCACGAAACAGCCCTCCCCGTTACTCCCAGCTGCAGCCCAAGATTCAGCAATGAGACAGCACCTTCAACTCACCTGTCCTGCAATAGGCTTCTTGCAGGCTCCACAGACACCTTTGGCAACTGTAGCTACACCCAGTTTGTTCAGGTCAGACTGGAGACTTCCCAGCATGGTGTCCAGCTGACTGCCAGGCTTGGAGGCTGTGGATGGAGGGGAGCTGCTCCCGGCTTTCCCCTGTGCCATGAACTGCAGGGAAGAGAAAACAAAGACTGTAAGGCAAGTGCTGCTGTGCTTACAAGATAAATGCAGGCTGTTGCTGCCAGTGGCTCCTCTGTAAAGACGGACAGGAGAGTGCTAGGAGACAGCTACACTCTGCAGAAACCACTGAGAGCTAGGATCAAGTACACACATGTATTCTGCCCATGGGACGTATAACAGCAGAGCTGTGAACTGAGGATTTGATTTTCCTTCACTGTGCAGACACAGCAGAAGTCACCAGCAGATCCTAAGCAGTCAGTACAGTGCTCTCTAAGCCTCTGCCAAAAATCTCCCTTCACCTCATCAGTTCCTGGCAAGGTGACAAAGCAGAGATGCCATCCAGAGGGCCCCTTCCCCTTGACCTCTCTCTTTCTATGCTGTTGCTTGCTTTCAGTTGTCTCTGATAGAGATCCCTCTCCTCTTCCCATCTCACCTCCCTTTTGGCTAGAATATCTTCTCCCTTCCTCTCCTGTCCTTTGCACCACCTTCTGCAGATCTTTTTGCCAAGTCTCCTTTGCCCCCCATCAGGTGGCTCTCCTCCCACGCCTGAGCTAAGCAAGTGGAAGAGAGAAGGAAATAAATCTCCCTTCAAGTTGCCTGCTGTTTACCTACAGAGAGGGCAGTACATCCACAGCAGAGCCCCAGCAGACAGGACTGCAAGGGAAAGACTGCCACGTCTATTGTCGGACCGCTGGAAATGCTCAGGTCGGGGAAAAGGGATTAAGATACTTGTCTCAGAGGCCGTTTCTGAAACTCACACTACCACAGTACATGCAGGGTGGAAAGGCTTCCCAGAGGAGAGGGAGAAATGTTTAACTTAGGTTCATAACTTATAAACAAAGTGTAGGTTCTCTTTGGCCAAAGCCTCCTTTGCAGGCAAACTGCAATAATGAAATACAGATTATTTTAGCTGACTTTGCACTGCAATAGCTACTATCAGGTTTGGAGAGACCAAAAGAAGTCCCTCCCTGAGATGTTGGTCTGGAGCACGTTTTCTCTTACTAAGAGGATAGGTTAAAACAGACATAAAATCTACATCTGTGAACAACCTACCAGCCTACTGCCAGCACAGCCCAGGGAGCAGGGACACAGTGAAGTGCTTCACAGCCTTGGCAGAACCTGCCCTTCCAGCCACAGGAAGAGCTCCACTCCCTGTCCTGCAGCTGGTTGTACTTGTAGTCCACTAGTTTACTCAATGACAAGCCCTGGTTTCTACTTGTTTGTATAAAAATTCTCATGACATAATTTTAGCCGCCTTACACACATATATACATGCACTCCTCATCAGCCTTGCCTTGCACGAGGCATGACTCTCAGCGGAGCCTAACACACAGCTTTTCCCCTCCTCTCTCCTCCCAGCCATCCCATAACTTGCAACCTTTCCTAGTCTGGCCGCACAGAGCAGTCCCATCACACCCCCGTGTCCTGAGCCTAAAACAAGCCCTCCACCACAGAGCAGTTATTTGCTGCCAAATGGTTACAGTGAAGGTCTCCAAAGCACACCATTGCAAGGAGACTTCTCACAGAGGGAGACAACAGGCCTTTGTATACAGAGCCAGGCAGAGTCCCAGGACAATGCCAGCACTTCCTGCACAGCACAGCAGGAGGAAAAAGGGCTGCAGCATTTTCAGAGAATCATATCTTCTCTCACTGACCAGGGGCTTGTGGCCACCAGGCAGGGCAAGCAAACATGCCACACACAAATGATGAATGTCATCTGGAGAGAAAGGAGGTGAGATGAATTCAACACGTGGCAAAAGAGCACTTCACCCTTGTCTGTAGGGACCACACACTCCTGCAAGCCACAGCTGACCTCACTGCAGACACAACCACCTGTGCACACTCCAATTTCTACCTGGCCCGGTGATCCAGCCTTCTTGACAGCTCACAGATGAGTCCTCACCTGAAAGAGGTTGGTTTCCACCTCCTGCACACAATGCCCGCTGTTTACAGGGGACACTCAGCACAGCACCCACATAAATTCATCATGCAAAAGCCCTTCACATTCCCGCCCTTCACCCATGAGATCTGCCATCACTCAAGTTCAGTTAGGAGCTCTATGAGCGGCAAACCATGCACTACAGGCTATCATCTACATTAACAGCACTAGGAGCTCTAGGAGAGGATCCCAGCAGCATCTGCAGCACACTCATTGACCAGAAGAGCACACCATGCTGAGGAAACAGAAAGGAGTTCCTGCCTTCTCAGGAGTGGGGGAGCCCAGGAGTGCAGGAACAGCCAGCAGATTGGCACTGCGGACGAGGGGAGGAGCAGAGGTCACCTGAAAAGTATGACAGTTCGAGATGCAGAGATGCTTCCTTGCTCACCACTTGAGAGCTGCCCGTACCACATAACATTGCACACCACTGCACTGCTCAGGTACATTAAGACTTCCCACCACCCTGGAGCTGCAAGCCCTTCCCTGACAGGTGATGCAGAACACAGCTCTTGATCATACCACTGCATCCCTAAAATCCATTCGCACTGTGGACACCTGCCTAAATGGGCAAACACAGGAACAACTGCTGATTTGCTCCTTCCAGTATCAAGACTTTGTCATCTTTTACACCCCACGCTCCAAGAGAGATTGTGGCGGGGAGAGTTGCAGCCCATGTTTCAGAGCTACCTTCTTCATCTCAGAGGGAAACAGAGTCCCTGCTGCACAAACTCACCATCAGGGCAGACAGGAACCACACACACCCCAGCATGTTATTGCAGTGCTAGACAGGCACAGCTGGGATTAGGTATTGCCAGTGAGTCCTATCTACCAGTTCAGTACCAGCCTCTACCTGAACATTACATCTACTGAGCTATCAAGTTGGGAGCAGTAGTTAGACTGGAAAACACTGCTAAAAAAAACAAACCAGAAGAGAGAAGCCTGCCTGCATCTGTGGGAAGAAAGCATCATCTTCAGTCTGACAGCCAACAGAAACAACTGTCTTGGTGCTAGGGGTCCAGGTCTGGGGAGAACAGGAATGCTTAGGATCTTCAGAAGGAGGGGTGCCCACAACAGAAAGCTCATGATAATCATCATCGGAAGTTTCCCACTGGAAGAGAGGCTGGGGACCCAAGCGGAAGGAAGAGGAGGAGACTGGGCTCGGGGCTGGGGTAGCTGGCACATGGGAAGGCTGAGGTGGGACTGGGACGAGAGGTGCAGGGCCAGAGACAGAAGAGGGAGCAGCGATAGCAGGGACTGTCTTTGCAGCTTCTTTGGAAGGCTGGAGCGGGGGAGAGGCTGGAACAGAGACTGTCCTCCTTGGGGGGAGCGGGGATTCTGGAGGAAAAACCACCTAGAAAGACATGAAGAAGAAAGGCGAATAAATCCAAAGAGGAACCAACAAGCACTTCCTGCAACAGGAACGCTGGTTGTTTTCTATGGGGGATAACATGTTTATCTAATGGGATAAAGCAGCAAGAAAGAGAAGGGAACTAGGAAATGTGTTTCCCTGTGTATTTCAAGGAAGAGCACAATCTTACACCCAGAACTTCCTGCACAGGTGCAGTTTTGGGGAAAACAAAGCACACCTCTATGGCAGGCGTGGTTTTAAAAATAATCCCCACATGGACATTTGACAAGTGACAGCAGAAAGCTGCCCAAACAGATACCATCACCCTCAGATCCCATTCCAATTCTTAAACATCAAGAACTAGGACCTGAATGTCGGTTCCCTTTTCAGGCCAGACAGGGTGAGTAGAGCTAGTTCTTCATTTCATATTGCTTAGGACACTCAGAAACTCAATCTGCACTTCCCACACAATGCTGTCTGAACAGAGGGACATGCTGGAATTCCCCAGCACATGTCCCTCCTTTCTACCTTCTCTACTTGCTGTACACCACTCTGCTCTTCCCCCTGGGGTCTGGCAGTGATAATGACCCCCTCTGTCAGCCAGTCATCCTGGCTTTTCCATTCTTCCTGTTCCTGTTTAGCGATGCCCAGTCTGTCCTCCAGCTCTTCAATCAAGCGATCCTGGGACTCAGTCTTGTGAAATATGGCAGGACCTAGTTTACGCCTTGGAGAGAGGTCACGATACATTGGATGCACATTCGCAGTCTCTTTTGTCCTCTTGATTAAAGATTTAATCTAAATGACAAAGGTAATAGTATCAGCAGAGAAGAGCAATGTCAGAGCAAGCCCCAAGATGCAACAGCACAAACTCAAGCCGTTAATGTCAATTGTGAGCAGGAACAGTGATGACATTTATTCCACAATGCCAAAATTCCTCTTGGCACAGCCTAGAACAGTGACTCAGTGCGAGGAAAAACCCCGTAAGGATAATCACAGCAGCCAAAAATAACTATCTAGAAAAGGAAGGGAAAGATTAACCAGCAGGAAGCCAGGATAGGAGGTGCAGCATGACCACTCCACCGAGCACTTCAGAAACCTCGGCATCACAAGGACACAGAGCAGCCTCTCTGTGTTTGCCCTTTACAGGCATAAGACTCTTGGTCAGAGATGTCTTGTGCACAAAGTGTACTTCCAGCACTGGAAGGAACACTAACAGCTCCAGTAATGAGACCTAAAAAGGCGAGCAGAGCAGAGGAGCTGCCATCCCAAGTCAGGAACATCTCTTTAATTTTTCAGAGGCCTCTGTGGACTAAGTCTTACCCCAGTTAGGGAATAAAAGTCCATTTCACAGGGAAGTCCCTACAAACTGCCACGTTCTGTGCTGCTGACCAACATGCAAAAGAGACCGCAAGATAAAGCGGAAGATTTCAAACCTCCGTGACATGCAGCTGTCAGTAACATTGCTCAGAGCTGCATGCTGTTAGTGTGGGTGAGCACACTCACACCACACACAAAATGTTAGTGCACTGTCAGAACAGTCCTAGCTAGGACTTGTCCTACTCCTACATTCATTCAGTGCCTGCCTGGCCTGATGCAGAAATCCTCTCAGTGGGTGGTTTGGAGACACATGGCAGATCCCATTCAGCTTTCCAAATGTTTTCAGGAGATTCCGAAGCAACTGCAGAGCTTCTGAACTGCTCA